GAAGTCAGCGGGTGGCGAGGGGCAAGACGCGTACGTATACGAGATACGGCGTGCACGTGTCCGAACTTGTAATATAATATAGTAGAAGGGTTAGAAGTACGAAATCTAATAATCTTAATCTTTATTGTTATTATTTTTTGCCCGAGCAAAGGCCGGGCTCATCTGCTAGTACTTTATAATTTCCGTAAAAATATGAGACTTAAACACCATTTTAATTGTTTTTTTTAACACTAATGTCCATTTAAAATTTATATCCTTAATCATAAACAAGTGGAACAATTGATTAATACATAACTAAAATGGCAGGACGACGTCATTACACAAAAATAAACATAAAATGTCGACTCTGCCGTAAAGACTGTTGCGTTCCGGAGGTGTTGAGGACGAAATGTAAAGACGTTGTCTCTTCCAATTTAGTGAAGTGGAACCCTATTTAAGATCTTAATGGACAGGACAATCAAAAGTCAGTTAACCAAAATGTATCAGTAGTAAAAATACATTGACTTTTAGGCATCCCGTTTTTTACACCAGGTACAGTACAAAATAAGGGACGATATTCACGCGGTTTCTTTACAAATTTTGCATTTATATACTGTATAGATTTTTACTTATTTCTTTAGTGTTTAAGACTGGTCACAGATGATATTCTTGCGTTCATCACCAATACTGGAAAAGGACTAGAATTTCTGGAGTCGCTATCGATATATTGCCGTGTATGTATTATGTATTTTGTGCGTAAATTTATACAGTACATCACACAAAAACTACACTCAGTATATCATGAATACATTGTGATTCAACACGTGAAGACCTATAAATATTAAAAAAAATTAAAGTTTAAAGTTTGAATAAAAACAAAAAGTGTCAGTTCAAATACTATTTTAACACATTCATAATGTAAGCAATAATAATTTACTACAATTGTATTGTGTATTTGATAATTATGCACAATACAGCTTATTAACAGAATAAATAGCGTTATTACTTTATAATTTGTATGTCTCTTGTACTTTTCGAACATAAACACACAAAATATTAGCTTATTTTGTATTTTTTTAGAAATTACATGAGTAATTTTAAAATTCATATTTTACTTAAATTGTTCTTTCAAACACCATAATTACTTAAATTGTTCTTTCAAACACCATATTTCTATTAATAGCACTTATTATACGGTTATGGTGTTTGAAAGAACAATTTGATTAAATTAGGACATTGATGCAGATTAATTAACAAAACTTTTTAATCATATTTTACTTCCTCTCAATTTTTTGCTTGTGTTGTACAAAACATTTATGAAATTCTTAAGTGATATAGGGGAGATCGGGGCAAGATCGGCATGTTAAGCTTTACTTAAATTTTGTGTAATAAATACTGCTGTAAACTGAAAAAAAAGCTTTGCATATTGTCTATTGGAATGTTACCTTACTATAGAACTGGTTAAAATCAGTTTGGAAATAAAAATAATTAAAATAATTACAA